CAGTAATTTGGAAATGGAGAGGATAATTCATTCCAGGGAAAAAGCATCACAAATATAAAGAGAGATGCAAAGGGTAATAATAGCAAGAATTTCCCTGTCCCTGGGGCACACACTGCAGGGAACAGTGCAGCGTAAGATCAGAACGGTAGTTTATATAAAGCCAGGTTGTGAAGAAATCGTCTTCACTCAGCTGCAGTGAGGCAAGCTGTGTTCTGCACAGAAGCTCCTCCTTTGGGCTGAATTCTGGGCTATGCTCTGTTTGCCAGGCCATTCACCTTCCTGTACAAACTGCTCCAGAGAAGCAAATTCCTTTCTGTCATTCTTTACAGAGCCCTCCCAGGAGAAAGAACCTTTTTCTAAGCCATTTACCTGAGGGAAGCATTTTTTATTGGCTCTGAGTGGACTGCTTCAGGCAACTTCACCTGCTTTAATATACAAGATAATCTAGAATGAGGAGACCCAGCCAAGCATGGAGAGAAAGTTACCAGCAGAATAAGAACCTGACCTAAGCAGCCAAGTAACAAAAACGATCAGATCCAGAAGTGAACTCTGTGGTAGAATTACCCATGTATCATTTCTGGACACAGGGATGATAGAATAGGGCAGAGGTGAAGATGATTCAGCTTTATACTTCACATTATACCTATAAGAAAACCTTACCACAATTAATGCTCAATAAGCATTTTTTAAATAAAAAAAGTTGCAAGTAACAAAAATAGTTTCATGTCTGTTGTGTTGGAACCCATATGAACTCATAGGAAATAACACCTTTAATTATTTTAAGCCTGCAAATGTTAAGTGAGTTGCTGAGTTTAAAGAACGCATCTAGAATTTAAGTTACACCTGTGCAATGGTATTCAGCCTTGGCTGAATATGCAAATCACCTGAGAAGCTTGTAAAATTCCCAGTGCCCATTCTGGGTCATTTAACTCAGAAACTCTGGAATGAGACACAAGCATCAACATGCTTTTAAAGCTCCACGATGATCCCAATATATAGCCAACTGCCTGCAAGGAACTTTGCAAGCCCTATTTCAGATATCTAGACAGGATCATTAACACAGCAATGACAAGAGATGAGGCCGAATGGTTTAACCTGTTTCACCATCTGGTCACAATCAAACCTTCCATTTCTCATGAAATCTTTTTACATTGTGAATAGTTCTTCAAAATTAATTTCTACTTCTTAGCAAAAGATGAAAAATTTAAGAAATCCATTTTCTAACTTCACTGATTTTAAGAAGCTGAACTATGGGGAACATATGGTTAAAATAGGACTATTTTAAAAGAGTACCTTAAAAAAAAGAATAACTTAAACAGTGAATTACACAAAGGCTTGGAAATTATTTTAAAACCTTTCATTTGTTGCTAAAGTTATATACATGCCAGGACTCAAAAGGAACAAATACTAAAAAAAAAAAAAAGCAGAAAGTTTAAAAATAATTTAAGGGTCAGATTAAGGATATAGTCGTTCCCCTCCTCCCTTAGGGAATATGTTGCAAGACCACCAGGATAGGCAAGAACCCATGGATAATACTAAATAAATACTTTTTTCCATACATACATTTATGATGAAGTTTAATTTATAAGTCAGACACAGTCAGCTATTAACAGTGGCGAGTAATAAAATGATTTTAATGATAAATTTATGTAAAATAAAAATTACGTGAATGTGGCATCTCTCTCCAAATACATTGTACCATACACATTTATGGACAGGTAGAGTACATAGCATGGATATATTGAACAAACGTTCAACGCACATTCCAATGGGGTGGGATGGGGTGGGGTGGGATGGGGTGGGGTAGGATGGGGTGGGATGGGTGAGATTTCCCCCATGCTGCTTGGAATAGAAAGCAATTTATAGGTTGTGAACTATTTCTGGAATTTTCCCCTTCATATTTTTGACTGTTGTTGACTACAGGTAACTAAAATTGGAAAATAAAACCTTAAGTAAGAAGGACGACTGTGTCTAGTAAAGAGCAGAAATGTTGCTAGATAAAAAATTAAAAATAAAGACTGTAGGTAAAGTGAGCCTTCCCACCGGGTCTTGCACTGTGACCCAACAGCCGCTTCCCTTTCTGAGGTTCCTTTTCCTTCTCTGTCATGAACATCCCCACCCTTTTGGGCACACATCTACTCTATCACTGGACATTCTCTCATTCTATTGTTTTTACCTGAAGGTGAGCTCCTGGATATAATATAAACCTTGACTTTCACGAAGTAACGCCAAGAAGAACATTGCTAACCAAAAAGTGAATCAAAGACCCGTGCCTGACCTTGGCTGTTTATTACCTATCCACAGCAGATAAAAGTTTTATAATTCAGATTTAGAAACTTTTATAGTAATTTGATAATCTCTGTTGAATCACATAATAAAATATTGATGACTATACTTTTAACTTGTATTTTTATTTCATGTTTCTAGAAAGAATTTTTATAAGCCTGTAACACATTAGAAATTTATAAAAATTAGTCTTTCCTGACAGTTGATTTGGGATGCAGCAAAAAAGAAGGACCATGGTCCAGTGATATAGCTCACTGGCATAAGCAACTGCCTGGCAAGGTCAAAGACCTGAGTTCAAGTTCCAGTACCAAAAAAAAAAAAAGGAGAAGAAGGACCATGGTTACACTTGAACATCAGTGCAAATGTGCACACAGAAGTGCAAGAATGAATGCAGACAAATTAATTCTTATCCTGCTGATTTTGAATTTTATTTTAAAAGTTCATTTCACTTGATCTTAGATTATTGTTACCAGAAATTACTTTCTGTTATAAGCTTGTACAAGCTACTAGAAATTCTTAAAAAAAAAAAAAAAAAAAAGTCTGTATTAGAAAAAATGTGATAAAGGGTTAGTTTAGTAGTACTAGCTCATTTTCTAAGAACCACAGTATAACTTGTCAGGTAACAGAAAAGTTGTTAATTCCTTCTGGAAAAGGCAACGGCTTTTCTTCTTAAGAGAATTAAGACACACTTTTCTGATTGGGAGTTGCTAATCATAGAGTTTTGTATTATTAGCATAATAATGCCCTTGTTTAAATATAAGGAAGCCTGAGAAAATAGTTCGGTTTTCTAAGAACATGCAGTTAGCAAATGGGAAGCTGGGGTTCAAACCCCATGCTCTATGCTCTGAAACCAGACGCTACACTTTTTTTTCCTGGACTCCTATGCCATGCAAAATGTTCTGGTGGGAATCAGAGACTGAATGCTTTTGTAAGCTTCACTTTCAGAAATGCTGAAATATGGAACATACATTAAACTAATATGGAGTGCTTGCGTCTCTCCTCAATATATAAGTATCCTTAGTTATATTTTCAGATTTCTGTACATAGCCAAGATCAGTGTTTGTCCAAAAGTGATTTACACATTACACAGAAGAATATAGGCGAGAAAAGTCAGGGCTGTCCACACCAACTGTTTGACGTAGAGGCCGTTTTGAACTCAGTTACTAATAAATGTTTTCCAAAAGCAAACCACTGTGGTCCTAAAAAGGGAACCAGGGAGATATCAATTCCAAATACATGAGGATCCCTGAGAAATACTAAGTCACTGCAGGGATCTTATCATCACTGTGAGGAATCCAAAGGTTGTACTAACTGGTTTAATACATGACTGTCCAATAAACTAAATAATATTGCTAACTGATAGAAATGCTTGCATAAAAACTTGAAACTATTAATTCCTTGACTCTTCACCTAAACATACTAGAAAAATACATTTTAAAAAAATTATAGGCAGTGCAAATGTTTAAGTCTATATCAGTAGCACTGTTTAGCTTTAGACTGAGAATATAGCATTTATTTAGCTGTATTATTGTACCCTAATAGATTAAAAATATGTAATTCTATTTGGTTTGAGAGAATGCCATACTCTAAAACATTTTCTCTTCCTTGGAAGTGACTTTTTTAAAAACAGAAAGTGAACAATTCCTCAACTCCTAGCATCACTGATTTAAAGTTAATATTTGATAAAGGAACTAAGTCATAGATTTTGAAATCAGCTGGATAGATACAATGGGTGTGTCCACTTTAATAACAGGAATAATTGAGATTGTAAAAACAACCACTTCATTTTAAGATAAATTTTAAGTATGGAAACTTAACCTGAGATTACAACGCCATTAGTTCTAAATCTTTAGGGCAAAGCAACAAGTCAATTTCTTAAAATGAATCTGCAACTAACTGTATGCATGAGGCTGAGTCTGTCTTGATGAGAATATGCATAGCCATAAGACTTGACCTGGAGATATAGAGGGCATACACCAGTAATGTTGTAGGACGTGTAAGAGACAGTAAAGAAATAGAAAAATAAAATTTAATTACGCAGAGTTTTGCTTAAAACAAAAATTGATTGAGTTTTGCCCAGAGTGGCTTGTTGTTTCCTGCGCCAGGAACTACTGTGCAGCCCAGCAGGAAGTGTGCTACAGAGTAGGATCACCTTACACCCTTGTTTTATGGTTCATTTCACTTATTTAATGCAATCTGAGAACCTGCAAAAGGAGCATGTTTGAAGGAGGGAATAGGTTTTTTTTGTCTTGTTTTGTTTTAAGTTTCTTTGAATCAAAACATTTGTTTTTACAAGGAACTTAAAATCCCAGAGAAACAGGACTTCTAGAGTTGCATGGTGAAGACATTTCTCTTTGTCACAAAATTTAAAGCAAGACACAAAGTTGAGTTATGTCTAAAGTTATGTCTGTTTCCTTTGCTGTCCTTCTCACATGATTTTAAACATGAAGAATTATGACTGTACCCATGAATGGCCTAAAGCATTGTGAATTCTATGCAAGCTTCTCCTAGGGTCTCTAATTTGATAGCGCACCCACAACGGTGGTTTTGCCAGAATGGGGTGGGATATGTTTAAAATGGAAAATCACAATTTATTTGCAAGCTGAGGAATGAGTTCACTTTACTGTATTGCTTGGAAATGTGTGAATGGAACAGCTGGACTTCTTGTGGTTGGCATATGCCCTTCCTCACATATTCTCTGTCTTCCTCTCCAGAGACCTCAGTATGAACAACATCAGTCAGCTGCCCCTGAGTGCCCTGCACAACCTCCGCTTCCTCGAAGAGTTGTAAGTATCACTGTAGTCTTGATGTGTCTAGTCAACACTGGATACCTTCTTGTGCTTGTCTCTCATGCTTGCTGTGGGAACCAGATAAAACAAGGCAGAGAAGCTGTCAGCACCAACCACTTTGGCACATGAGGAAACACTTAGTTGGAGCGGGACTGGGTGGGGGGCGTTGCTTATGATTCTGGAAATCAACTTATAAAAGCGTTTACCATGAGGCTACAACTTTCTAAGGTGAGACTGAGCCAAACAAATTAAAATTTTAAAACAAAGCCTGTTTAGAAGAGCTGGATAGCTCTTTGGAAATAGTTAAGCAGCAGGATATTAGAAGTCTGAATACTGGTTCATGTTTATTAAAATAGCAAGTGAAGCTATAATCAAAACCAAAAACTGCTGCTTGGTTCAACTTATAACTGGGGGAATTGAGTCCACATTGCATAGTACCGAAATTTCTCCTAATCACTTTTAATTACTATTTCCCTACTTTTAAATTGAACTTCCCTCAAGGCTTCAACACAATAAGAAATTCACAGAGGACTTAAAACTGGGGTTTCCTGAATGTACTATAAAAAAATTAAGAATTTTTTTTAAAAAGTGAAGCTAAATTTAGTTAATGATATACAGAAGAACCTTGATTAAGTATAGTAATCACTTTACAGAAGATGAAAAAGAACTGCATAAACCAAAAAATTTGCATTTAAAAATTCATTTGATCTTCCTACCCTGTAGAGTGATGGCAGTGATACACCCTCATGGTCTTCGTGGAGAACGTTTGGCACCACCAGTTGAGTCGGTCCTCTGATTGTTGATTAAAGGAATTGTTCAGGCAGTGACCTCTTTTGAAAACACTTTCTTTATAAACCCCAAAGTCAAGGCACAATCTGGGGAACTATTTAAATTGTCGATCTACCACACAATCCACCATGGGAGCTGGAAAGGATTTTCCAGTGTAACCAAATCACACTACCTTGATCATTTCTTCAACAGGATAATTTCTCCATGCTTGGAATTTTATCTACATTTCTCTTTGATGATGTTATGTTTTCAAAGAAATGTATTGTATGTTACTATTGAAATCAATAGAAAATGGCCAATTTGTTATCAAGTGGTATGCAGGAGAACCTAGGTTACTAAATTTCACAGCAAGTTTTTATTATTTAAGGAATGGATATTCACTCTAGGCTCCAGGATTCTCTTTCTCCCTCTTCTTCTCGGGTCATTTCCATTGATAGAATTTAACCTTCATAAAGATTAGGACCTCGTCTGTCTTAGCCACAGCTGACACATAATAAATAATCAATAAATTTTCAGTGAGTAAAGTCAGAAAAAATAGAACATATGAAAGGAGCTTTTTGTACATGTTAAATGCACTGTGTGTGTGTGTGTGTGTGTGTGTGTGTGTGTGTAACTGGGATTGAACACAGAGCCCCTTTACCACTAAGCTACATCCTAATCCTTTTTATTTATGTATTTATTTTAATTTTGAAATGGATCTCACTAAATTGTCCTTGAACTTGCAGTCCTCCTGCCTGATTATAGACATGTACCACCACATTTGGCTTATTAGTGAATATTTTTAACAATTATTTTTAAAACATTTTAAACATGAGATTTTTCCTAATTACATCCTTATTCTTCTTCCTCTGACTCAATTAATATATAATAGTCCTATTTACCCCTAGACTTCTGAGGTATACATTTTTCTAGAGTCTATTTTTCTTTTTAATTTTCTTCTAATATCCCATGGCAAAATGCTTCCCTTCCCTCCCAACACACACCTCAACTCTAGGCCACAAACTACCAATAAACAATTCACTTCCCCAAGGATTTTGTTTAATAGAATTTTTCCCTGTTTGCCCCACCTCATTCAAAAAGCCTCTTGTTCCTCATGAGGTGAAAGCTAATTCTGTTCCATGGCCAAACTGAGAGAAAAATCACACACAAAATAAAACAGGCTAAGGGAAGAGCAGGGCAAGCTACTGTTTGAAAATACTATTTTCCTGTATCATCTTGTTTTTACCTCTCTGGAAACTCCATCAACAATCTTGACCATAGAAGTACAGAATTTCAGAAATACAGGGGGATACTATTCTTCCCTATTCTGCAGTTCTTTCTTCTGGGTTGACTGACTTAACAAATTTAAAATCAAAACTGCTTTCCCATATATAATGCTGTGTTTCATCTAAATGATACTTTGAAGACATCATTACTCATTTAGTGGCAAGAGGGAGTATTATTCACAGAATCTGGAAAAATGATCATCTCTGTTTGGTTATTTCCTTTGTTCCCAAGGCTAAATTTGGGGGCAGTATGTTATTGCTGTTTATTAAAAAAATACCCTCCTTAGCAGAGCATTTTGATTATGTCTTCATTACACTGCTAATTGTATTAGATTTAGCTATATTTAAGGCTATATTTTCTTTTTGAAACATAAAATCTTCAAAAATAATATAATTATAATAAGAATAACTTACTGTGTGGTAAGTCCTGTTCAAAGTGCTCTACATATACATCATTCCCCTCAATTCTCTTAACAACCCATAAAAGTGGATATTATTTATTATTCTCAGTTAACAGATAAGAAAACTAAAATATAAAGAAAACAAAGAACTTTCCCAAGATAATGAATAGTAAATGTCAGAGCTGAGTTTTAAGCCCAGGTCAAGGCTAAGACTCAAATGACTTTTAAAGCTGTGCTTGGAAAGCAGGAGGCGACTGAGGAATTGTGCCTGGTCTTGTCCCTGGTAGTATGTAGTACAGTGACTTGCACTCAAACTAAAGTCCTGTTATGATAAGTATGTGTTTCCATATCTGTATCTGTGTGGGTGGATGAAAAAGAATAAGAAAAAGATAAGAAAAGAATTGTCTCCATGAAGTAAAGATCAGATATTTATGTTATTAATCCACTACCACTGGCTATGAGTAAAACATTATCAGAATTTTCAGGGATAGGATTTCATAACCTAGTATTGTTCAGCAGCCTGAAAATGTTTGTTAAAATTTCTATCGATACAATATTTATATAAACAACATGTTTTACATAGTATTTTACTTGAACTAACCAAGTGAACATCTATACAGGTAGATGTAGATGTTTAGATATCTGTGTGCATGTATATGTGTTTGTATCTTTTGTGGCAATTAGGCCCTGTTTGAAAGTGTTAAGACTTTCATTGGTCTTATTCAGCTCATTTTATGTCTTATCTCTTGATACATTAAATAAGAAAGCGCTACTGATACTACAAACAATAGTAATAAAACCACTGAGTCTTTTAAAAAATCACTATTAATAAAGCCAAGTTCCCACTCTTCTCTTTTGCTCTAATTACCCAATGTATCGTATTGTTTCCTTAGCTTATTTCATTTAACTATGTTATAAACTGTGTAGACAGCTGTGGTTCACCCCTCATCCATCACTAAAGCTTAACAAAGGTGCCGTAGTTCAAAAACTGGCAAAAAAAATCCATAAAGCCCTAGAGATATTCAACAAGTTAATGTTTAAAAAATATAACTGGATAAAGTGACTATCTGCAGCAAATATTTATGAAGAATAAAAGCCATCAGAGCAAATGGTCTCCTTCTCTAACATTCTGGAGTATTTAGTACCTGTGCAGTAAGTTTTGCCACACTGCGGTCCTGTTTGTTATTGGTTATTTATTTCTTTTTATGACTCTGTAAGGTGACCAGGTGTGCATAAGCCAGTTGTGCTGCTGGTGGTAATATTCTAACACAAAGAGGAAAGCCTTTTTTTTTTTTGGAAATAAGTTTACATGTCGAGAGGCCGTGCCACATAGAGAGAAGCAAACAGTGTTTGGATTCACAAGCTCAAGACTTTCCCGTGGGACCCTTCCACCCACTAGTGGCACTGGGTCTGGGAGGACAACAGGGAGAAGCACAGCCTCTCTTTTATTCTGAGGCTCAACTGAAATTACATCGAAAAAAAGTAAATTTACATATTGAGTTGTATTAGTAAAATGAAAACATCTTCAAGAAGATCCTAATCACTTCCTTTCCTAGTTTAGAGCCTGGTTTTGGAGGATTTCTAGGAATGACCGTGGTTCAGGGAAAGTTATTTCCAGGTCTGAGCATTAAGGCACAAAGACAATGATTACAGGTAGTGCTTCACCAAATTTGAACAGCCTGAAAAATAATTGCATTTCTCTCCCACAGTACCTGTCCCTACGGTGTGAATTCAGTCATGTTAAGGATTTCATGTTCTTGTTTTGTGGACAAATAAAAGATCCTGTGTTTGGTTCGTCAGAGTATAGTCAGACATTAGGAACTAACGGCTGACGATGCCTATTGCTGGCAACCACAAGTTACAGTAAACTTAGATTGGCAGTCTGATTACACATGGCAGGGGAGGGCAAGTTGCTTCCTTTAGTTCCAAGCAGCATTTAAAAATCTTCCCAGATTTTAGTGCTATTGGAATCCGATGCTCATTTTAGAAAAGACATTTGAGAAACTCTAGGGAGATGTTTTTAAGTTACTATTGCTCCCTGGGACTGTTTGCTCATATTATGGTTGGCCTTGAAGAATCTCTATATTAATAGATATCTATCGTTATACATGGAATTTGTAATGAGAGACCACCAAACTTCTTGAAACTGTACTTCTTCACCATGGTATTGAAACTGACAAGACTTGTTCTTCCTGGTCCTTTAAGTTATTTTTCCCCTAAGGATCAAATGAAATGATGATGAAAACATTGGTAACCTATTATGCATGTACTGGGTTGTGTTCGTAAAGTGCTAACACCTCCCTGCCCGTGAATAATCTCCGTGTTCCTTGGTCTTGTCAAAGTAGTTGGTCTCTTGTCTTCATAGATCTGGCAAATGATTATAAATGCTACCTTCTTGAAAAGCCAGTGTTATTCATGGCAGTGATTTTGGCTCTCTTCCAAATGACTACCCACATGGCTAGATATATTTAGCTGTCATTGTGTGCCTGAGTCTTTTGTTGATAATTAAGGCCCTGTTTTGACAGTGCTTTCTCTGCCTTCT